TGCTTGGGTTGTGTTGGTCTTTGGCGTGGTCCGCAGAGTTTGCACCTAGTTGGAAGTTGCCTGTTTGGCATTACTATGATGCCATTGGAGCTGGGGCCGGCACTTTTGGGCATTGTGCTGCACCACTGTTTAAGTCATCGCCTTATGCTCCTCTCTACGAACTTGCCACTGTCCTAAGACAAGTTGTAAGCAGTCGTGTTGTTCTCCATCACGACCATGTTGCAGGTCACTCCGGCCACATCGGCAATGAACTAGCCGATCAACTTGCAAAAAAGGCCCGTCGCACTCCGGAGAGCCCTCTTGAGCTTTGTCTGCCAGCTTGGGTTGCTCATCTAGCGGGTCACCCACTCCGTTTCTGGGCCTGGGTATGTCACCCCGTACACACCGATATTCCCAGTCTTTATTCTTTCGAATCAGAATCCCTGCGGATGCAAAGCCACTGTGGCGACATTTGGAAAGCCCCCACACAAGGGACCCATCATTGTCAAGATGCAGGGGGTGACACTGCCTTTGGCCTTTGTCTCCTATCCTTCAATGTCCTCACCCTCCTTGATAAGAATCCGAAAGGAGCTACTCCTGCTCCTCCCTGCGTTGAGGTCGGTATGCGGATCCAGGGCCGAAAGGCCGCCCTCAAACAGATGTTGAAAGACCATTCTCCTCACATTGTCGGTCTTCAGGAGACCAGGCTTCCTGCCAGTGAGACGCAGTCAGATCCGGATTTCTTCATCTTCTCCGCGCAAGCAGATGCACACGGAGGTGGTGGCTGTGCCCTGTGGGTTTCTCGGAAACAGCCATACGCCTGCCAACAGGGAAAGCCTCTCTACTTTGAGGCCTCTCATTTCACTGTTGTTTCATGCTCGCCGCGGCATTTGACTGCCGCCGTTGCCACACCACATCTTCGTCTCTTCTTGTGTGTGTTGCACGCCCCTTCTCTGTTCTCTGCGGATCCAACAGCGGCAGCCGTGTTCTGGAACGCGCGTGCTCAGGAGGTCGCTTCCAGGCCTGATGGATGTGAAGTGATAGGCCTCGTTGACGCCAACGCCAGAGTCGGCGATTGTGAGTCTGACTCCATCGGAGCCCTTCACCCTGAAGAGGAAGGCCAAGCTGGCCGGCTTTTTCACGACTTTCTGTCTCGAGTTGACCTTTGCGCGCCATCTACTTTTGCAACACACCATCACGGTGAATCAGGCACCTGGCGCGCACCGCATGGTCAGTGGCACAGGATAGATTACGTACTTGTCCCTTGCAGCTGGCGTGCCTTCAACCCTATTTCTTCAGTTATTACTGAGTTTGAAGTTCTGCAGCTTCGGGATGACCATCGACCTGTCAAACTGCATTGCGCCTTCTCCCGGAAGGCCCCACCAGCCTTTTACTCCAGTACCTCCCGCAAAGCTGTCCGACCAGACAGGCCATACGACAAACTCTCCGCTTCGGTCGCGGCCCAGGCCTTTGGTCGGATACCGTGGCAGTCTTGGTCTCTTGACGTTGACACGCATTTCGAGACTTTGTCTGCAGCTTGGTGTCACACCGGTTTGAGTCTTGCACCTCCAACCTCGCGTCGTCCTCAGCAGCCCTATGTCAATCCCAGCACCCTCGAGATCGTCGCTTTTCGCAAGAGTTTGCAGGCATATCTTCGCGAGGGCAGAGCTGAGGCCAGACGGAGAATGATGTTGTTAGGCTTCGCTGCTCTTGTGCTTAACTGCCGCCACGATTCTTTCACAGAGCAGGCCCGTTGGAATGCAGACCAGTGGTTCATAGACATTGACTACAGTGATGCTTTTGCAGTTGCCCTCTTTCGCTGGTGGGGCAATCGATTGCGAGACACTGTAGCTGCCGACAAACGAGCCTACTTACAGGGCTTGGTAGACGATGCTTCTAGGGTTGGTCTAGGCCGTCCTAAGGACCTTTATTCAGCGATTAGGAAAGCATTTCCTGCTGCCAAGTCCGCACGTCGCAGCTCGCTTGCCCCCTTGCCGATGCTCTTAGACAAGAATGGGATTCCAGTGAATGACCCTGCGGCAAGGGATGAATGCTGGCGACAACATTTTGCTGATCAAGAGGCAGGTGTCCTTGTGACTGAGAAGGCTTATGTCGCCACCGCTCAGGCCCAGCGATCATTTCCCAAAGGGGTTTTTGACCTCGATGCCATCCCAAATTTGGCCACGGTTGAACAGGTGCTACTGGGCCTAAAAAATGGGAAGGCTGCTGGAGCTGATAGACTCACTTCCGAATTGCTAAAGCTGGCGCCCACCAATTCGGCCCGACGCCTCCTGCCAATCATCATGAAGACTACTATGTCTTTAAGGGAACCCGTCTCTTGGCGCGGCGGCGACCTCATTTTATTAGCGAAACGCGCCGGTCAGAACATTACCTGCGATGGATTCAGATCCATCCTCATTGCCAGCATTGCTGGCAAGGCATATCATCGCTGTGTCAGACTTCAGATCCTGCCCTTTTTACAAGGGACGCAGCCTGCCCTGATGGCAGGGGCCGTTGAAGGTATAGGCATCGAAGTCCCAGCCCTTGCTGTCAAGTCGTTCCAGCTTTGGCAGCAGGGTTTGCGCCTTCCTTGGGCCGTCATCTACTTTGATTTGCAAGCGGCCTACTATCAGGTGCTTAGGCAACTAGTCGTACGACATTCTGGCTCCGATGCAGCTCTGCTTGATCTCCTGCGTCGGTTAGATGTGCCTGCCCATGCCGTGCATGAACTGTATGCCAAGCTTGAAAAACTTGCCACTCTTCCCAGCCTTGGAGCTAATGCTCACCTCCAATCGGTTGTGTCTGATGTCCTTTCTGGAACCTGGTTCAGACTGGACGGCCGAGCGTGCCTCACAATAACCTCTCGTGGTACGAGACCAGGAGATCCACTTGCTGATGCTCTGTTTTCTCTGACACTTTCGGCCTACCTGAAGTCAGCCCTAGCACAATTAGCCCAGGCTGATCTGCTAGCGGATGTGGACTGCCCTGCAGACTCCCCATTCTGGGCGGAGTCCTCTGGACCTGTTATCGGAGCCCCGTCTTGGGCAGACGATTACGCACTCCCTCAAACAGGTCCCACTGCTGACATTCTTCTTCAAAGAGTGACTGCCAGTGTCCGTATCATGGTAGGTCATGCACGAACATTGGGTATGACCATCAAGTTCGGGCCTGAAAAGACCGCCGCCCTCGTTTCCTCTGCAGTCGATAGGCAGCGACATCCTGCCATCCAGCAGACCCCAGAAGGAGATTTCTTTCTGCCTGTCAACGACACTTTGGGCGACAAGCTTCACCACCTCCCCATTGTTGAAGCATACAAGCATCTGGGGGGAATCACCACATCCAACGGGTCGCCCGCGCCTGACTTGCACTTCCGTTTCGCAAAGGCATCGGGCTTTGTCCGGCCCTTGAGCTACCGTTTGTTTAGCTCGAACAAGTTCAGTCTTGCCGTGCGCAGGACGCTGCTGCGCTCTTTGACCCTTTCCAAGTACGTACACACAGGGGCAGCACTAATCCTCAATGCCGCCATTCATCAGCGACAATGGGATAGGCAGTACATTGCGCTTTGGCGTCATCTCTGCAGGCGCACTTCAGATTCCAGACAGGAACATCCGTACAAAGTGCTGCACATCGCCAAGGCTTCCCCTCCTCCTCTCGCGTTGGCCAAAGCTAGAGCACAGTTCCTGCGCAGGCTCTTTGAGAGAGGGCCTAAGGCCCTATTGCGTATCCTGTATGCGCACTGGCGTCAACATCCTGCGTCATCTTGGCTTTGCCAGATTCAGTCCGATGTTGTCTATATCAAACAGTACTGCAAAGATCTGGATCTGTTTCTGCCCTCTGGTCAGGAAGTGCACTGCCTCCTGGAGGCCACTGTCGACTCCCCGTCCTGGTGGCCGAAGCAGGTTGCCAAAGCTGAGCGTGTCTTCCAAGCCGATTTGCAGCAGTGGCTGATTGGTTTTGCCCAAAGCCCCCACAGAGTGGATGTCCTTCCCAAAGAACATGTCTGCCAGGTGTGTGGCTCAGCATTCCAGCTGCGTAAACATCTGCATCTGCACATGGCCAAGGCTCACTGTATGTACAGCCCTGCCAGACATTATGCTCTGTCTCCCGCCTGCATTGTGTGCCATAGGTGGTACGGGACTATCAAACAAAGCCAGCAGCACCTCAAGCATTCGCCCAAATGCTTATCGGCAGCGGTCCACCTTGTGCCTCCTCTTTCGTACAGCCAGATCCTTGAGCTAGAAGCCCCTGAAAAACAGCAGGCCGCTCGGATCAGTAAGGGTGTTTGGCAGGGATTTACCGCACGGCCTCCACCAGCCAAGGCCCTTGTTGTCTTTGGACCTCCCCTCCCCACTGCCGACGAACGTCTTGCCGGAGAGGATGAAGAGTCCATCACCCTCGCACAGCTCTCCCAGGTCTTTCGACCCTCTGCTACCAATGTGGAATGGATTTCTCTCCACTTGGCCGGAGCCAGCAAGGAGGGGACACGTGCACATACGAGGCGTTTTTGGCAGTGTAGACCAGTCTTGTTTCACTCGAATTCATGCTAGGAATTTTGGGACGCGCCCTACCAAGGGCTCGACAGTCCACACAGAACAGAACAGAATACTATTGTGGGGCTTCATCATTATACTTATAGTATAGTGGGCTCAAACCCTTTTCTAAACATAAAAGCCCCTATATTAGCTGGTTGAAAATGAAAGCACCACAGCGCCACATCTTCAGATTCGTGTCCTAGGTTCCTGCGTTGCCTCATCACAATAAGGATGCCCTTTTTTGCTACTATTCGGGTTTAAGAAAGCCATCCTAGAATAAAAGGGCAAAGGGGTACTACTCAGGAACCTAGTGTCCTAAAGCAATCCATAGACCCCAGTCCCTTGACACCCTACTGTAGACGAGCCTCAAATCAAGCTACTTAGAGGATCATGGGACTTAGTAAGTAGGGTTACAATTAAAGTAACTACAGTTATAATTACTTAAAATCCCAATAAAGCTACTTATAGCCCTACTTACTACGTCGTGGCCTCAGCGTCCCCCTGAAGAAGGTCGGAATGTCTTCGAGACCGTATAGCTCGGCAAAGAGTGTTGAGTCCCGGTTCGGCAAGACCTGAAGACGCCACGAGAGATTAGACTGCATCCAGGCATTACAACCAAAAGGAGGAGTTTGCAAAACTAACTAAATCAACATCTAAATGAACTAGCGCATATGTCTATATACATCTTGTATACTATATGTTTGCTCATGTGTACCTCTATTAGTCTCGCCAACTGGTGGTCGTCTCTCCTGACATCCAAAAAAGATGAAACCCGAGGGGAACCGCTTAGCCAGATCCTTGGGCCTCTGCCCGGGTCCTGGCTTTTTTCACTTCGGATCTCCAGTGTGTTGTTTGAGGGTGAAGCTTTAGGCCCAGAACCTGAACACAATCGGGCGAAAGCGCTCCAAGCGACATCCAGAGCGAAAGAATTGTTGATGATGATGGGCTTGGCCTGTCGCATTTCGGGCAAGCAGAGAGTGCGGAAAAGAAGACCGGGACCAGTGTTCAGGTCTGCAGGGTGGTACTTGGTGGTATGCAGACTGAATGTAAGGTCTCATGTGAGGAGGACTAGGCCTTTTTAGCCCGACAAGTCTACATACTTTCCCGCACGAACCGGGCTTTGAGCAAAGGGCACCGCTTCTATACATGCTCTACATGTATGTCCGTGTGTGTGTCATTCCGTGTACATATATGCACGTATGGATGCATGTCTATAACTATGTATGTACATGGGACGCCGGAAAGTAGTTCGGCAGGTGGGTGGGAAGGTGAGATGGTGGGTAGGTCGGTGGGGACGTACGCTCAGCAGGTAGGCAGGCAGACCGGCAGGCAGGCAAGCAAAAGGTGTAACAATATGAAGAAAGACGTACATGTGTACATGCCGGTACATAGATACGTACATGCGTACACATAACCACAGACTCTTATATGCATACACATAGATAGAAGTAACATATGCACACACAGAGATGTGCCCATGTACACATCTCTGTGTGCATATACATATTTGTCTGCACATAGATACACATTATGTATGTATGTATGATTATGTATGTACATGTGTGCATGTATGGGTGTGTGTATATATATATATAGATAGATAAATACACGCGATGTATGCATACATGTATGTGAAAATCGTATGTCCGTATGTATGTATGCAAGCATGCATGCATGCATTCGTTAACGAATGAATGAATGCATGATTGATGAAAGACTTTATGAACCGATGTATGCATGTAGTTGCATATATACATATATATATATATATATATATGCATGTGTATACACATACATACAGAAAAACAAACATGTAAGTGCACGCAAACATGATATCTTTATCTGTACCTGAACACACTGAACGTCCACGTAGATCTAGATCTCTCTCTCTCTCTCTGTATATATATATATATATATATACACACATATTTATACACATATGATTAGTCACATGCATATATATATATATATATATATACAGCAAATAAAAACAATACAAAACTCATGTACACACACATCTATATATATATATATATATATGTATACACACACATTCTTGCTTATATCCGAAAAGCTATGCTAATGCTGGTGAATATACTTACAAACACACACACACACACACACACATGCATGACGTGTATGTGTGCCGAACAGAAGAAAAGATGTAGGCGAGACCGCGAGCCTGTGCCAAAAGATCGACCCCGGCCACCTCTTGCAGCTTCCCATCTTCCTCGCGGTTTTTTCTTTGAGGTCAGCGTAACCCGTTCCAGGCGTAGGGCTTGGGCTTCAGGTATTTAGCGTTCAGGGTTGGGGGGTTTTAAGGTCTTTGCGCTTTTCTGCTTTACGGGGTCCGCCGTGAGTTCACAGACTCGGCTTCGGGCTCCATGGACGTAACATGGCACGGTGCAACACTGGAGAACCTGACAAGCAGGGTAGCAAACTGCTCGAAAGGGACTCGAGAATCTGACAAATAGGTAGCAAACACCTCGGAAGGGACTCGAGAATCTAACAAACCGATCGCAAGGGACTGGAGAATGTGACAAACAGGTAGCAAACTGCTCGAAAGGGACGAGAGAATCCGACAAACAGGTTGCAAACCGCTCGGTTGGGACGAAAGAACTGACAAGCAGGTAGCAAACCGCTCTAAAGGAAGTAGATAATCTGACAAACAGGTAGCAAGTCGCTCGAAAGAGACTAGAGACTCTGACAGACAAGCAGCAAACCGCTCGAAAAGGGCTAGAGAATCTGACAAACAGGTAGCAAACCGAAAGCGACTAGAGAATCTGACAGACAGGTAGCAAACCGCGCAGCAAACCGCTGGAAACGGACTAGAGAACCTGCCAAGCAGGTAGCAAACCGTTCGACAGGGACTGGCGAATTGACAAGCAGGAAGCAAACCGTTCGAAAGGGACTAGAGAATCTAACAGACAGCTAGCAAACCGCTCGAAAGTCACGAGAGAATCTGATAAACAGGTAGCAAACCGCTCGACTGGGTATCTTCTGATATACTGCTTGGAAACGAGAATAAGGAGCCCCTTTAAGAAATGTTAAGAAGTGTTTAGGCCCATGTATTAATTATCAAGCAGTGGCAGAGCTCCTTCCAACGTGCAGCGTTCTGGGATGCAACGAGCACGCCTCTCTTCAGGGCTTCGGCTTCCACGCAATCGCAAATCCAAAAGCCGGCCCCTCAACCCCAACCCTCAAACTTAACCCTCAACCCGCCTAACCTGAAATGCTAAGTCCCAAAGACCTCATATCATATGGGTGGTTGTCAAAATGAGGGTCCCTTTTTGGGTCCTTATTATGATACGGCACCTAATATTTAGGCTACCCAACAAGAGACCATAATTTTGACAACCACCCATAATATAGGACTTTCCGAACATTAGGGGTACCATATTTGGGGGTCCTTATAATAAGGATCCTATTGTTTAGGGTACTATATTAGGGTCCCCTATTTTCGGAAACTCCCATTTCCCTTTACCCTGAACCCCAAGCCCGACACAGGAGGGACCTGCAGTTCTCAGCTCATGGAGATCTCAGAGTCTGAGGGCACCCGGCCGTTTTATCATGGTGGAAGAGGCGGTTTAGGGTTATATAAGGGTTTTCAGGGCTTAGGGGTTTTTAGGGTTTAGGGTTAAGGGTTTTGAGGGTTGAGGGTTTAGGGGCTTTTAGGGTTTAGGGTTAAGGGTTTTGAGGGTTGAGGGTTAAGGGGCTTTTAGGGTTTAGGGTTAGCAGCACCCCATACTTAGACCCTTAGTCAGCAAATAAACGGGGACAGTTTTTAGAGCACAAGGTTTAGAAACAAATGAAGACGTGCACCTTTGAAGTCATCAGGAGCACTCCGAATAAGACGAACAGCAACGATCAGATCGCGCACATCCTGAAAGCGTGGGTTGGGAAAAGGGCTCAGAGGCCCTCAACTCTCCACCTCAAGGCTTGCACCGTATTCTTCATGTAGTGGCCTTCTCAAGAATGCTTCATACAAGGTTTTGAGCAGCCTGTAGAGTTTAATGTTTACGAGCAACTACAAGGCATAAGTTCTGGGCTGAAGTAAGACGAGTATACAACATGCCATAATTATCAGCCTCTGAAGCCAGCATATACACTTTCCGAAGCACAGCATGTGCAGTCATACATAAACCGATAGGCACATGTGGCCAATCAGCATACACGACAAGCAAATACACATGCATGCACCGCCAATCTAGAAACAGACAGACACCTGCAGACAGGCACCCGCGGACAGACACGCACACAAACACATCAGACACACACACACACACACACACACACACACACACATGCAGGGTGTGCACAAACAGACAGGGGTGCGGACTTCATGCTGAACCCCACCTCGTGGAGACCAGCTGAACTTGTAGCCGATGGGGTTGGTTCCAGCGACCTCGCGACACTCTTCCGAAACCTTTATCTTGTTAAAACTGTGGGGCAGGAACTCATGTGCTTCCGTTCGCAGACCTATCTCAAACATTTCACTGCTTCTACAGCCCATGCCCCTCCCACATGAGGAAACAAGTCGCATCCTAAAGGCGACATCCCCTCGATCCGCGAAACTTTTGACCCTCAGCCTCCTTATAGAACCCTTATGGGGCCTATAGGACCCTTTTAGAACCCTTATAGAACCCCCTCCCAAGGGAGCGCGCCTCGGGAGCAGGGAGGCCGCCGCAGAGGGATGCGAAACGCATGATCTCACTCCCAACGCTGCGAGCCGTGTCCTTGGTTTAGGGTTTAGGGTTTAGGGCTCTGAGGCTGTGGTCGATTTGGGACTCATATGCGTGGTTGTGAAAACTACGGTCCCGTTTTGGGTCCCTATTAAACACGGCACCTATTGTTATTTCTTGTACCCAAAAAGGGGACCTTGATTTTGACGGTGCGGCTTGTGGTTTTCGGAGGTCAGTCGGAGTTTACAAGATTTGGCCTGTTTTCGGGGAGAGGGTGAGGAGGATTGGGAGCCCAAGATTGTTTCGGTGCTCTCCAGCCGTGTCCTCCAATCCTTCGCAATCGCTTGCTAGTCCTTTTCGCTCCTGTGTCCCCAACGTGCCTTAGCCTCTTTCGGGCGCCGTCTGATGCTGCTGGAGGAGAGAAAGCGCTTTCGTTCGCTTCGAGCCACGTGGATGTCTTTGAATTGAAAAGATGTTGCTCCTTTCGGGCGGTGTGCTCCTTTAGTCGACAGCCACGTTCGCATGGTTTGAGCCTGTTTGTCACATGCACTACTGTTGTCCCTCTTCAGCGTTGCTCGGGCTGTGTTAAGTTCCCGCTTCTACAACGCTCTCACCCCTTTTTCAGTGTCTTGCCTGTTTCAGTGGTCTGCTATGGTCTGCTACTGTCATTCGAAGGCTTCCGTCGCTTTCAAGCGTTTTGCCCCGTTTAACCGAATGTGCAAATCACTTTCGACAAACTTGCCGTCTTTCCGAAAATCTCTCGTCCTTTCGTGCATCTTTTTGGAGCGATTAAGAATGTGCCAGAGCCAGCTCAACGCTCTGCGGAACCAGAGCAACAGAAGATAACAGGTGAACCCACACCCGTTGTGTAAAGAGAATCTGCGGGAAGCTCTGGACCCTAAAGCTTATGGGTGAGGTACGCTGGAATCTGCAAGGACCCATCAAACACATAACCACCACAAACATCTCCAACGGTTCTGCGGGTTGGGGCTCTTGGGGCCAAGGGCTTTGGCTCCAGGGACTAGGCTTAGGAAGACATGAAGAGCCATGTGTGCGGCAGAAATAGGAAACACACGGAGGCAAGCAGTACATACGCAATGCAAGAATGGTGGCCCCATATTTGGACTTTCGTTAGTCGTATGGTGCGGTGTGATACTTACTGGCCCAAAACCCAAAAAAATACAAGTTGAAACATTCAGAATCGACAACTTTCCAGAACCCCAAAAGTTGAAAAGTTGAGTTTACAGCCAATAATGGATAACAGCTAACTGAATCAGTGCCGGTGTCAGCAGGTTTTCAACAACTGGTGACTTGATGTGACTTGATTCGCTGGCAACCACTGTACAAACATGGTTACTTGCCTACCCAAGCCCCTTTTGCCTCCGAAACTGCTTCACCGTTCTTCTCTCGGAAGCTTCAAGCAGCCAAAGACTCGACCATGCTCATGGCGCTGAGATGGTCAATGCCCGGGTCGAGACCCACCTGCAGCTCTAGTGTTCGTCTGGCTCCTCCTCCTCTCCTCCTCCGTCTGCAGAACCCAAAACCTAACACCAATGCCAACATCAAAGCCCACATCCGCCCCACATCCATATCATCGTCATCGTCAATACCACCATCACCGTCACCATCAGCATCCTCATCTTCATCCTCATACGACTATTGCTACTACGACGACGACGGCGGGGCTGCTGCTGCTGCTGCTGCTGCTGCTCCTGCTTGCCGACGACGACGACAAGGACGACGGGATAAAGACATGAAGGTGTTGAAACACTCTTGGAACGTGATTGAAGGCTTTGAATCGAATGTCAAGTCCATCGATACTTCGTTTGCTTGAACCGCATTTAGAATTTGAGTCTGCGCCTTTTGATCCAGATGACCTTTCCAAAGACCGACGCACAACTGAAGACATCTGAAACAAACCAAGACGTATCAAACTTGAACCAGTATCAACTCGTTTGGACATTCTGTTGGAATTTAGATCGACCCAGGCGCCAAATTTCAAGTCCTGACAGTCTGCCTCCCACTCCCCAAAAAAGCGCCGAGCCCTCAACCCTAAACCCTTAAACCCTAAGGCACCTCGTTCAAGATAAGCACGCCCGCTTGTTCGGCTTCGTCGTTCAAGGCCTCGCCATGTCTAGGTCGCGCTCACTTACGAAACTACTATTTAGAAGGGGCCCCCACCCTGTAATAGTGGTAAAATAGGAATATAATAGGGCCCGAATATAATCCTTATACAGGGTGGGGGCAGCTTCCAAATACTATCCTACATCCAAGTGCTTAATGGCTTGATTGTCGGGTCCTCCGAACCCTTGTAATTAACTTCGATACAAGCCTGGGGAAAACCATTACAAAACACTAGAACAACACAACAACCACCCATAAAAGCTCCAACATCCTTCTAGATTCATATAAACCCTATATACAAAACCCTACACCCGCGGTCGTTGCCTTCATCTCGGGGCTCACATAGGAGGCCGTCACCATGGACACGCCGTGGCGGATGGCCAGCCCTGCCAAAAAGAGAAAATAGGCACAAAGTCAGCCAGCCCTCTGAAAAGAGAGCCAGAACAAAAAGTCTGAATTTAGCGTATGTAGACTTTGTCAAGGGGTGAAAATCTTAGTATTCGGTGATTATCCATGCTTTCAGGGCTCAGGACATCGGGATCTGCGGGTCTGCAGGGCAGGGATCGAGAAGGCTCCAGTCTCCACCGAGCATGCTATAGTCTAGCAGCCAAGTGCTAGGGCCAGGGGTCTAGAGTTTAATGTTTAGGGTGGATGAGCAAGGCGATAGCTTCTCCACCGATGCATGCAGGCCACGTGCCACGCCAACATGCAGCGTCGCCGGCAGCAGCGACACCACCAAGTCGGACCCTCGCTAGTGGTGCGGCTGGGTGACATGTCATCATTTGTTTTTGCAATTGGGATTGTGGGGGGCCGGGGTCATCTACATAGCCGTATCGTTTGGGACAGACGACATGCTCTTTGTCTGTATGTGTGCGAGAATAGGTATGCATGTGTGGCACACCAAAGAAAATCTACGGAAGGGGGGGAGGCTTTTACCGAGGTGATGGACATGTGTGTGTGTGTGTGTGTGTGTGTGTGTGTGTGTGTGCGTACGTGCGACACGATTCCCATCGACAGGAACATCTGTATAGACACAGCACACACAATCACACAGATAAATGTAGGTCCTCGCGTACATATATATATATATATATGTATGTATACTGTATATTTATATTTGTATTTATTTATCTATTATAACTATACTGTATGTAGATATATTTGTTAGACTAGAAAAAGTTGTAGTATGTAATTCTGTTATAAAATATGTGTAGATATGTATACATATCTATCTTATATATATATATATAATATAATATGATATAATATAATATAATATAATATAATATAATATAATATAATATAATATAATATAATATAATATATAATAAAATATAATATATATATATATATATATATATATATATATATATATGTATATGTATATACATATATGCACATGCATACATCGTACTGGGTATGAATCAAGATATGAGGAGCATGAATATGAACCGAAAGAGCCTGCAACAAGGGCATCCAGCTTGGATTGAGCCGCGGCATCACCTGCGTTGGCGGCTGCCACATCAAGCACCTGGTGGATCCCAGAGACTCTACCAATATCCCGTAATTAAGGAATATGCCTTAAATCATATTGGGGATCCTACTATACTTTAAAGTCTATTCCCAATTAAGGGATATTGGAGTCTCTGGGATTCCCGCTTGGCGGGTTGCTTAGAGAATTTTACGTTTTCAGGGTTCAGGGTTGCTGGTTTCAGGTCTAGGGCTTGAGAGAGGTGTAAAGTTTCTTTCAGGCTTCATGCACAGATAGGTCTTGAGACTTGGGATGCAGCAACCGGATCTGAGATGCAGGATGCAAAACTTGGCTTAGAGCGCAGAGAGACTGTGTCACGGCACGGGCAACCTATACCACCCGCCAACTGCGCAGGTCATCACATGTAACTACGACACCTTAATTATTATCCCACAAACCCTCACAAACAATCCAGCCTCCTACCACATGCCCCTGTTAGAGAAAACCCTTGTCACAGTGAGCTGCCTCGGGCTGCAATCGCGTCGATGCACCTGGTGAGGGCCCAAGACCTATCTATTTGCAATAGCCTGCACCTAGACCCCCGAAAGTAGGAAAACAAATGGCCCAAAACCTATAAAAGGCTATTATTCTACATACTTTTGGGGTCCAGGCAGTTGCAAAAGGTAGAGCAGTACTAGTAACAAAGAAACGAGAAACCCCAGCATCTCACACTAGTCACTAGTAAGGAGTTCAGCGCCGCGGCTTGTAGGTTCCAGGTACATCCCGTCTTCGACCGAAACTAGGATACCCAGTAACCTAAGAATAAAAAGGCCTCTCTTTTTGGTATTGGGTAACTTTATAAGGAGCCTAGGACTACAAAAAGGGAATAAGGGTACTACTGCGCATCCTAGGAAACCATGAGTCCCTACATCCGGGATAAGGGTCCCGTTTTGAGGTTACCCGGAGCCCCACGTCGATGGAGCCCGGGTACCCTTATTCCGACTATTGGGGCCCGAAAAAATGGGGGCAAAAGGGCAAACCTCAGGAACCTACACTATGACCATGAGAAGTAGAAGGCTGTGATGGGGGTAGGTAGCGACGGCTGCACCGAGAAAACTGTGGGCATTTGTGTGGTTTCGAAAATCTTCGTGCATGCAAGAACATCTTCCAACACCAAGCTATGAAACTTTACACACTACTAGCCCTACTATAATTATACACTAAGACTTTAACCTGAAGCTCTGAAACCCTACATCCTTAACTTGATGCCCTGTGCCCTAACCAGCGGCACCCCGGCGGCACCCTAAACCACACAGCTCCTGACCTGGGATCTGATTCAGTGGGTCGAAGTCGCTCTTGAGGTAGCTGGCCACCTGCAAGGAGGGCCAATCGGGTTCTGATATCGGGATCCTATGAGGGCTCTATAAGACTACTGCTACTGAAGGGCTCACATGAGCGGTTTGGGGGTCACAGGTCGCGGGGCTGGTCATGTCCGCTACACGCCCTAATGCAGATGAGACGCCACCAGCGCCACGTTTGGGCGTCGCAAGAGCCTCTGCGAAAAGCGTGCTCTACGGCGCAAACATGACAGCGGCACGGAAGAAATACTGCGACGAGACGATCACCAGTTTACAACTGTCAACCCCCGCGACCACCGCCGCCACCACCTCTCCTAGCCGGTGGATGATAACGACAGAGAGAACACTACATCATATTATCATATCGACTACTTTATCGATGCAGACGCGCGAGCAGGTGAGAGGTTTCACGAGTCCGACATAGCGAGAGGTGCACTAAACCCAAAGCCCTACCTCGAAACCGAAACCCTAAATCGACGCGAACCCCGGGAAGCTTGCAGCGGCCTTTCGACAAAGGGAGAAGCGACGTGGCCGGCGCCCAGGAGCAAGACCTTCCTGGGGTCTTAATGGGCTAAGGGCTCGGGCTGCTTCTATGATTTACCTTCAGTCTCCAGCGCAGTTCCCTTTCTTGGTTTAACCGCCTTTATGTAGTAAGGATCCCTGAAAGGAACTGCAACGGAGACTATAGGCAGGGGTTGAACAAAAAGGTGACTGGCAATTTGGTTTCCATGCTTGGGCTTGATCGCACTTGTAAGGGCGCCCGCGTCTGCTGGCGAGCACTCAACATCTGAAGTCCCCGAAAGGACCCGAACCCTCAGGATAATCCTCAGGGCATGAGAGTTTCACAAATACAGGGCACTCCCTTGCCGTCCTGTGTCCTATAGACCCTTTAAAAGGAACAGCTCAAGGAATCAACATCCAATTACTACCAGCCACAAAAACGTTTCCAAAGGACACCCAGGCACTTCTCCACCTGTGCAAGCGCGATTCTGAGGGCCTACAAGGTTTACGGATTGCCCTGGAAGGGCGCATAAGCCAGCTTATCTTGTCGTGACAACGTCGTGGCGAGTGCTTCGTACGATGCCTGAGAATGGAAGGCCTTTCCTTCCTTCCATCCCACCCCTCCGGTTTAGGGTTTAGGGTTTAGGGTTTATATAGGGTTTAGGGTTTAGGGAGGGGCGATGTTCCTTCTAGAGCTTATAGGCCTACAAACTCATGCCACAATGCCGGTCTGACGTGGGTGCTACGGCTGTGGAGGCTGGCTTGCATCGACTGTGAGGCATACAGTATGCGCCACCCAGCCACTGTTGGTAGGAGAAAGGAATGCCTTGAGTTTACGCTTTATAGGATTTAGGGTTGAAGGTTTGGGGTCGACCACGCCATGTTGGGACATGTGGGCGTTTAGAGGTTTAAATGGCCCCTGAAGTCCGCTTGCACTGCACCGATCCAACAGCCATCGGTGGCATGTTTTCGTACCATCTAAATACATAATAAATCAGATGAATAAATACATAAACAAATGTGTATATTTATGTGTATATATATATACCTGGGGCCTTGGGCGCCCTATTATTATTGGTTATTCTTATAGAACCCGGTTATATACTTGGCGACCAATTATTATTAGATGCCAAGGACGCACGCCCGTAAATCTCGAAGTGCCGGATGGCAAGGTTGAGGGCTTGGAAGTACTATCCCCGGAGACCCTGAAGATCCATTTGATGCCGAACACCGAAGCCTTTGATGTATATAGGAGCAATCAAGTCCGTGGGAGAACACCGTATTAAATCCCGAATGCATAGAACTGAGCCTTTTCATACCCTCGACACCAAGTCATACCCCAAAGAAAGCGATCATAAATCCACAATTGAAGTATCAGAACCTACTGAGATCCCTGGGCCCCTAGGCCTTAAAGACATTGCTGCTCATTCTCCGGGGCATACACACATTACTGAGGAACCCAGCTCATACAGTTAATGAGAGAAACCATCCAACTTCAACCCAAAGATCCGTGCACTCTTTGCCACATGTCGCTTTCGACTTCATCTTCATCGCTCGGTCGAGGCTGGATAAGGGCTCTAGGGATTGATATTCCAAGGTTTCTTCGGGCTTGTGCAACTTCAGGCTAGATCTGCTAGACTGCAAATGAGTAGGGACTGAAGCTGAGCAAGGGGGTGCTAACGTTCCAACGCCAGGCAGAAGCTGCTCATCAAGCTCTTCGGTGGTGGCTTTGCACTACCTTGGCGAGTGCGCTCCCCTCCATATAGGGAGTCTGGGGTCATGTGTTGGCATACAGCGAGTCTGATCCATATCTCTCTTCATAAAGCCATTTCGGCCTCATTTTGAGTCTTCCTTTTCTGTTGGCCGCGCGATGGTTGACTTTTCGAAGGTGCCACAACAGTGGGATGACATCGCCACGTTGAGACGACGTTGTCAGAAGGGCAGGTCTTTGATGGTATCTACCACGAAAGATATCAAACAAGTCCTGGGAAACATCAAGAATGTGTCGGAAAACTATGAAATCCTTCGACCTTTGGTTCTGTGCATGTCGAACAACGGTGTTGTGGATACACCGCCAGTCGAGAAGCTTAGCCAACTGGTTGCTGAATTTTACGGCCTAGCTGGTTTTCCGGATCCTAACTCCGTAGAAGCCGTGGCACACCAAGATGCCTGGGGCATCAAAAGATGCCTCTCTTTGCTTCGGAGGAAGTGGAGTAGAATGGAGAGACCCAAGGACCTCAAGAGTGGGCTTGAAAATAAATGTTATTTTAGGAATTTTATATAAGTTTCTAGTGTTGGTGATTTTGGGTTGGGGATGATATTTAGATGGTTGTTTGTGCAAGGACTCGCGCGCTGCAGAACTTGTGGACCTCTACGAGAAGGCTTTTGGCATCTTCATGCGGGTTTCTTGGTTGAAGATCTTAATTAATTTATGTCATGAGTTCTCAAATGGTCTATAGCGGTCTTGGATTGATGATTTTTGCACTCTTGGGATACTAGAGCTGAGGGCGGCGGTGATGCTGCCAGCGCGAGGCGGCCGGATGCCGGAGATGATGGGTCTGACCCATACATCGTGGAAGGTGACACTGAGACTGATGAGTCTCAGTCCTCACCGCCTTGTGGGTCGGTCGCTGTGCCAGCAGCTGAGAATGAGAGCCCTGCTGTGGCTGTGGAACCGGCTGGGACAGAGTCCAGTCGGGCTCCCACAGAGGCTCCAAGGGAGCCTACTGGGGCAGTGGCAGTGCCTGCTCGGGCTGATGAGGGGCCTTGGTGGTCTCGTTGCTTCCCGCGACAGACGGAGCCGGAGAGCTTTTCTGTGGATGATTTGATGCCTCGATCCCTGAATGAAGTGCTGGCCCAGTTTGATGACTCAGAGCCTGAGGAGCCATCCGCTGGAGCATCCAAGCACCGGTGGATGGAGGATAATGAAGCAGACAGGAAGCAGTTGCAAGCTTTGTTGGCTGCCAGTGCTGCCAAGTTGGAGAAGCTGTTCCCTCTCGGCAATAGTTTCTAGTGCATGATTGTACTACAATGCAAAGTAAATAGAGAATCGGTTCTCGGAGTATAGTGCGAAATATAGAGAATGTGATCTCAGGCGTAGAGCCACGCCTCTGGGTCCCGGCCACAGCTCTGCAAGAGCCTTGACTTTGGGCAATACAAGAATAGTACTGTAAGGTTTTCGTTTTCATTCAGGGTTCGATTGATTTGCACATCATTTGGGCGAGCAGGTTCATCGAAGGACCTGCCTGCACATGGATCTATGCGGGTGGATAATCTGGAGACGCAAGTGTGGGATGGAACTCCAGCTTCCCCGTCCCCACCTTCTAAGTGTTTGGACGTGATTGATTTGGATACTCCAAAGAAAGATCCGGTTAAGCAGGAGTCTCTGGAGCCAGAAACCGTCCCATCCTCAGCCCCGCTGCTTGCAGAGCCAGTCCCACACTCGGGCCCAGAGCCCATGGAGTCAGATCCCCCTGCAGAGCCAGAGCCGCACTCAACCCCGCCAGCCCCATCCTCAATCCAGCCTATGGAGCAGGAACCACCCCCGCTTGCAGAGCCATGCACAGACTCACCGGAGCCAACCCCGAAGCCGAACCCAACTCACTTGCGTTACAAAGAGGACTTGACTCCAGTGAAGCAGGCTTGGTGCTAGAAGTTTATGATAAATGGTAGCTTAAATTTTTTAAATATTGCCCTCTGAATCCTTTTATGTATCCCTGGAGGTGCTCACGCGCAATGACCAACTCTCCATGAAGGCCGCAGCAGCGGATGAGGAGGGCGGTGGCCGCGGCCGCGGCCGTGGCCGCGGAAGAGGTCGTGGAAAGAAGAAGGCTGTTGTGCCTCCTGCAAGCACAGCGAGTGCTAAGGATGCAAAGCAAGCTCAGGCCGATGAGTGGGGTGATGAGTGGGGTGATGATTGGGGTGATGAGTGGGGTGAAGAGTGGTGTGATGAGTGGGGTGAGGACTGGAGTGCCGGGTGGGGTGCTGAGTGGGGTAACGGGTGTGATGGGTGGGGGGCAGAGGCTGCGGCTTCTAATCCCAGCAAGCTTGGCAAGAAGAAGCGTGAACGCCAAAGCAAGAAGGCCACTGAGGAGCCATCAGTGGCTCCAGCAAAATCCACCCCGGAAGACTCCAAGGCTGCAGGCAAGCCAAAGGCCAAGGCTGTGGGCAGGGCCAGAAAGGGCTCCGCAGATGTGGCGGCTGCGGCTGTGGACGACGATGATGGGTTCGAGTACCCGCAAACGTTCTCTCGGCGGGCTTGCCCGCCGTTGAAAGGAAGTGATGCCTACGTGTTGTGGCGAGCCATCACAAAGAGCTTCTATGATGGGGTCTTGCCGACGATTGAGCGCGGGTCCCGCACCGTTGCAGAGGCAGGGGTGGGGAACCATAAACAAACGTGTTGAAAATTTATGATCAAAGCCCTGGGGTCTTCAGGCTACGTATTGGCAATACTCCCGCATCCGCTGGCAGCAGAGTGGACTGAACCCCGGAGACGAGGGTTTCATGGAGATGATGAACATGGCTGCTTCGGAGTTTGTGGTTCTTCAACCTTCTGCGGCAGAGGTGTCTTGTGTAGTTTTGGTGCTGTTTGATTATTTTGTTATTGATGAGATTGGTCTCTCCCTCTCTCTCTTCGTTTCTCTTTCTCTCTCGCCTAAGGTAAAGGAAGCTGCTGAATCGCTCGCGATGTGAGGAAGTTCGGTATGGATGCAGCGCATCCATACTTCCGAGATTTTGGATTCATCTTCTAGTTGTTCCGAGCTTGGTTGAGGCAAACAAGCCTTGGGACTGAGAGCATCCGTACAGAATCCTGGACCTTCACGAAATCGAAACTAGCTTACTAGTCTTAGTCTAGGACCTAAATCTCCTAAACTTCTTAGGGCTGCTGCTCTGCTCAAGTGCTACATATACATGCACCCACAGAAGGTTTCCATCCTGAGGTTTCCAGGAGCTTCTGTCAGTTCACTGGGGAACTACATGGGTGCACTCAGCTTCAATAGCACTTGTTCCTCCGCCACGTGCGGTGACCCCGGCTTTCTGGTGTGTGGATCACGCTGAAGCCCTAGAGCTCATTGCTGAACGAGAAAAAAGTGTTTGTGCATGTATGCAAAGCCGACGTACAGGATTAGGTTTTTACTATAGGCTCAGTGCTTCAGCTGTGCTTCTTTTGCACCCATAACGAAGCTTTGTGAACGTAATCACTTGAAACCAAAATGCCCTGATTTCAGGTACTTATGGTGCTGACCGCTGGCACATGAATGGGGAAACGAGGCCTTGCAAGAGCAGGGCTGATTGAGGCCCCAGCCGATCAAGGTCGACACTGCCACGCTTGATTGACCTGCCACATCGGAAGTTTTGTTATATCAGTCCAGCTTCATGAGAATCTCTCCTCCATGCAAGAATGGATGCTCATGGAAGGTGGCTCTCATCGATGACCGGAATCATGTTCCTATATAATCTACAGCATTGTTTCTATGAGTGGGGCCATCTTTCAGGATATGTGCCGGATAGGTTTGCAGAGCTCTTGTAGTGTGCGGTGTGCTGCCATGCCTCCCACAGCTGAAGACCTTGTTCCCAAGCTGTTCAACCTCGGTGCCCCAAAGGTCTCTGGGCATAGTTCGGCTTTGAATATTTCTCTGGAGTTGGTGTTCATAGTCATGATGGGGCCCTATGGTTTCTGTGGTGGCCCAGGTTTTCGTGCTGTGCGTTCTGCTGGTCCTCTGGAACAAAGACATCATTTTCCACAAGGACACATCCCAAGTGCCTTCAGAATACATAGACCGTATTTCAGAATCGTCCCCTCCATTCTCGGACGACATAGGTATAATTCTACCTCGTGCCATCAATATCTAATGTCATGTGTCGATGGCAGACTTGTGTTCTGGATTCCTACGCCCACAAGAAAAGCTGCATGCTTGAAGCCCTAGACCTCCCTTTCGAACACAATCCCAACCCTAAACCTATATAGATGTATACTGCAAGAGAAACTCAAAGCACTCGACTGGCAATTGAAACCCTCGACCGAATCCGGGGAAAGGGGCGCGCTATTCAGGAGCTCGACTTCATAGAGCATTTTGCTGGCTCAGCGGTACTGACCGATGAGGCTCGGGGCTTCGGCTATCAGGCAACAGCCGTGGATAAGATCTATGGGCGAGGCTTTGACATATTACGGCCCAGTGGCTATGGGATCCTCGATCGTTGCAATTGCTGTGTTACATGTGTGTCGCTATCTCGTGCCAGGCTATGAATGGAATAGAGTTTATCTCTGCAACTTAGGACGTTCATTGCCACAGCTTTGATGGGGAAATCTTCAGGATTCCTGGACTGGTGCGGGGTACTCTGTTCCAGTTGGGTCTCGATGGCAAAAGGGACGACACGGAGATCGTATTGCCTTCCCCATGGATATACCGAGCACCGCTCAGTGTCTGACGGGAATATGATGGCTGCACGGCAATCGGCCTCAATTGGGTTTCTGGTATATGGATGGTTTTGAAGTACTCCTCAATTAAAGCTAGAGTCAGCTAGAGGTTGTGCGGGTATGTTCAGTTAGT